ACAGAGAAAAGTTATGCTACACCTCGGAGTCTTGAGATAGAGATCTCTGAAAAATCCGGTTTTCTAGAAAACCTAGTGATCTTAAAGTTTCTCTCAGAAGCTTTTCAACCATATCATTGGATAGCTCTTTCAATTCTTCATAAAATGAGATGCTGGCCAAGTTTCTACGATCGTGGATCACCGAGTTACAGGCTTTTTAACATTATGAATATAAATGAAAACTGAATTTAAGTGAATCTATGTTTGGCACTTGCATTAAATTAACAGAACAGTTACATTTTATAGTTGTCAAATTGAAAGCTTATACAAAAAACGATGAATATGTTGAGTTATTACAACAGATTAATTTACGAGTGCAATTTCTTACAGAATCTCACACCGAATATTTAAAACATCAAGATGAATTCAAATCTATCTCCATTAAACAAACCCAAGCACTGAACCAGATTATGAATAGTTTTCTAAGGAATGGAAATGGTTAGTTATGATTTTCATTACTGTAAGCCATATATTAACTGTGATTTAGTAGAATTGTTTGATGGAACTGTCGGTGAGAAAAAAACTTTACTTGAAATTTTTTGTGGGTGGAATCATAGGTGTAGTGTGAGTGAGTTATGTGCGTGTTGGGTGAAAGAGCGACCTTCTTTTGTATCTGAAAATGTTTCTATACTTTTATGAAATTGTGAAGGTCTTTCAACTCATCTGTCAGATTTCAATTCTCTTCTTTCTTCTTACTGTCCTCAGGTGTTCATTTTAACAGGGGTGGGAAAGATGATACGTGCGCTCCAGCCTGTCGCTAACTATAAATGGTTTTCTTAGGAAGGTAATAACAGTTACGGAGGAGTGGCAATCTTAGTGCATAACAAAATCACACGTGCAGCTGAGGATAAGGCAATTAGTTTTCTTCTTCTTAAACTAGAGATTTTAAACGAGAAACTTTATATTGGTGGAGATTATTCACCACCTAAAACACTTCCACCTTTTGAACTGTTTGAGAAGCATAAAGATAAAGATATCTATCTATTTGGAGAGTATAATGCTAAACATAGCAATTGGAATTGTGAAAACCGTAATGTGAGTGGAAACAAACTAAACGAGTGGTTAGTTAAAAATGGATTTGAAGTAATCCACTCTTTTTGTGAAACATCTAAGAAATCAAAATCAGTAATTGATTTTTGTATTAGCAAAAACAAAGAAAATTGGAGCGTAGAAAGACTATCAGAAGGAAACTCGGATCATTTCTCTGTACTATTTTTTTCACCATTCTCAGCAAGAGAAAATGGAGTTTAAACTGTATTTCGCTATTAGAATACATTCGTTTACAACGTAGATTATAACTTCTTTTTTGATATTTTTTCTAAGTTTTTATCAGCTTTGAGTGATAGATGTAACGGTTATGAAAGTATTAAACTTTTTCGACCACCATGGCCACTATATTTAATGAATTTAATTCGAGAAGTGAATAAATCAAAACGTAAGTGGAGAAGAACACGTTTTTTAAGGGATTACTTGAATTTTAAACATCATCAAAAAATTTATATTGAAGAGAAAGTTAAGTTTGAGCAAAACAAACGTGAGCAAAAAATAAAACATATGAAGGAAGGCAATAACGTTTGGTCTCACGTAAAACAAGTATTTCGGCCTTATACTCCTTCTTTTACAGGATTGACAACAAATGGCGGAGAACTAAAAGATAATCAAGAAATAGCTGATCAACTAGCTAATTATTATGAAAAACATTTTTCAGAGCCAGTTTTTGATGTAAACAATGCATTTCATCTTGAGTGTATTGATTCATACGAAAAAATAAAAAATACACAAAACATTTCACTTGGAAAGATCAAACTAGAACAAGTTGTTTTACAGTGGAAAAAATGTTCACTAAAGAAATCTCTCGATAGTGTTGATACTTCTGCCTTTCTTCTCAAACAACTTCCTTTGGAATATTTAAACACAATAACTGTCTTGTTCAATAAGTGTGCTGAAGCAGGCGAATTCTTTGAATCAGCTAAAATAGTGAAAGGTACTTTTTTTCTCTAAAGACGGAGTATATCCAATTGAAAGTCGTCTCCGCTCAATTTCACTAATACCAAATTTAGGCAAAGTGTTTGAGCGTGTAATCGTAGCAAGAATTGAGAAATGGTGCACAGATCAAGGTATTCACATCGATGAACAATCTGGATTTACAGCAAGAAAAAGACTATAGACAAGAATTGTTTCTATGATAGATGATTTAAAGTTGACTGTTGCAGGCCTGCATTTTTGTAGATTTTAAAACAGCGTTTGATGCCATGTGGTGGCCGGCATTAATGAAAAAATTAGAAAACTTAGACATGTCAGTTGAACTACGTAAGTGGATATACAACTGGCTTCAGCGAAGAAAAATGAATGTTCATCATGGAGGGAAGAAGTCTAGACTTTTTGATATCTTAGTAGGTGCTCCTCAAGGAAGTGTATTAGCAGCTCTATTGTTTAGACTTCATATTCATTTTTTAACCTCTTATTTTTTACAAATAACGATTCATCTTTTTGCTGATGATCTTACTATGATAATCAAAGGTGCACTAGAAACAAGATTAAGTAAGAATATTGAATACCCTGAATATCAGGCGAAAAAAGTGCTAAAATCATTGGAGAAATTTGCAGATGATCATATTCTTGCAATGAATGTATTGAAAACAAAATGTATGTTAATACACAGTGCAGTGTCAGTGAAAAAGCCAGTTTTAAAATATAAAAACATTGAGATCGAATATGTAAAGTGGTTCAAGTGTTTAAGTGTGGAAATCGGTACAAAATTAGGAATGGGAGCACATATCGACAATAGATTGAAAAAAGTTAGATCATCTTACTGTGCTCTAAGAAAGATTTTTCGTACTTTACCGAGAAATGAAGTTAAAATACGTAGAAAACTTTTCTGCGCTTTCTCTCTCTCTCACTTTCTATGACTTTTAAGCACTTGGTTTTATTACACCGATAAACAGAGAGAAAAAATTGAGCATGAGTATATGACTGGTCTTAGACTAGTATACTCCCTTTGGGAATATAAAGACTTTACAACACTTGCACTTAGCAGAGAACTTTCTTTAAGAGATTACGTCTATCGTTATTGGTTAAGGTTTCAAAAGCATTTAGAAGAAAGTCCAGAAGGCGTAATTTATAGACAAACATATAATGCATTTTTGATTGTCACTACTCCTTCGCTTTACTATCGTAGTTGTGGGTTCCGAATAGACAGTAAATTTGTAAAGCGGCTAGCTGATAAGGCGGAACACACCTATCTACCTTTCTTATCCTTTACTAATGTACACCGGAAGCAATATGCACACTTTCGAAAATACTCCTCTCTTCTCGAAATATTCATTTTAAAGTACTTTCCTCTCTATTCTCCTTGAAAACAAAGGTATGTCAGAAAAAAAGAAAAGAAAAGATAATAAGAAGAAAAATATTGTGAATCTTTGCAGTACAGTATACTATCGAGTACATCTTTTTTTATGTTTGTCTCTCTTTGATCTTACTGACCTTATACGTGAAGGGCGAGAGTAGCGTTGTGTAATTTTTTAGCTGTACTTCAAATAAAAAGTTATATCTCTCTGCAGTGTACTGTCTTCTTCTATCTTTTTCTCGTTTTTTTCTCTTTCAAGGTGTCAACATCTATGTATTTTTATTTGTTAACCTCTTCGGGAACAATAAACATAAATGTTAAAAAAAAGGATAGTATTATTAATTTCTGTGAAGGTAAAAACACACTTTTGTTTATCATAACATCTGGTATGTATATTGGCATTCAGTGTCAAAATATATGAGTTTATAACTTTCATTTAATTTCTACTTTATATTAAAACAATAAGAAAAACGACAACCATAGGTTTCATGCTAATCGATTTTGATGATGATAAAACTGTCAGTCACACGACACATGAGTCTCGATTTTTTTTTGTTCTAACCGAAAGAATAACGTCAGATTCTGAAAATCATAAGTAGCAAAATTAAGACAAGCAAGATAAAAAGAGAATGATTTAGTCAATAGTCCAGTGGATATGAAAGAACCCCGTCCCAGAATAGAAAGCCAGTCTGGAACGAAAATTTTTGAAAAACGCCCTATAGCTAGGGGTAGAGCAGTTTTTCACCAAAAGAAAGTGCAATGTGCAAAATCATCATAGAAGGCCATGGCCTTCTATTCTGGGAGGGTGTTTATATTAAGCATGAAATTTAAATCAAACATTACTTAAAAGCATCCGTACAAAATGGAACTTAGTCAGATTTATACATAACAATTGCCAAACGGTAACCGTATTGTCATCGAAAAATTTTCAGTTCTTTTATGATTGACTCGTTTTGATCTGAGCGACAAATAACGTTGAACTCTAACAAACAAATTGCGGTTTCTACTACATCATTAATGAAGTCAATCTCAACATCATTGTAATACTTTTCCATGACATCAAATTCAAATCGAATGCTTCTTATGGATCGTAGTATGAAATTTGCTGCTGAGCAGACAGACAGTCAAACATACACATAGATAGTCAAATATTAGAATAAATGAATAATATAGGAGAGAAATTGTGTGACATATTGTTCTGTTTATGTTTATCTAATACGAAAACCGATACCTGATTTTGTATGTAATGTCTTGCTGCAGGAGTTCAGTATTAATATAATAAAATTTTGACTGCTCCATCACTCAGGTTACACATGTTATTATTAATAATACTAATTCAGGGCTTTCGTACATTCACTGTTTTATCATCATCGACTGTAAAATCGGACTATTCTACAGCCAGTACTATAGTGCGACAAGAATTTAAATTAGGTTTTCTCGGTCCCACTAACAAAGATAATCCAGCCAGTCAAACTGGCGGTCATCCCGCTCTGTTTGCATTTAAATTGGCCATTGAAGATATCAATAACCGCACCGATCTTTTCCCACACATCAAATTATTTCCCATATATTGCAACACAAACTCCAGTGTTGGCGAGAGTGTAATTGCTGCATTCAAACAAATTACCGAGCACAATGTAACTGGGATTGTTGGAGAATTTAATTCTTTGCAAACGCAGGTAAAGTAAATATGGCTTTTTTCTGCACGTCTGAATTGTAAGACAAAGTTTTGTGGTTCGTATCAATAGACCTAGCATTCCTTTTTGGAAAGGATGCGTGATAGTTTTGTACATAAGTGGATAGAGAAAATGCACTCTTCGAAATGGGAATCAAGCGAGATCTTGGCGTTTAGCAGTTCGGGCTCGGTGTTAAATCCTCTTCTAGCAGCGGAGTGAGCATATGGTAACTGTGGATAACCTTATCATCCATAGTATAAATCAATGGAAATTTTCGCATATCAGATCAAAAAATCCATGTACTGATCTTGCATACACTATAAACTTGAAAATAAGCTATAGAAAATAAAAAACGATTTTCAGTTTGTCCATATTCTAATTCAGCAGCGATGCTCTGCTTTCTTGAAAATCATGTTTTCAAAAATTTTACCTTTTCATAAAACGTATCTGAATTTTCCGGAAAATCAATTTAAATTTTTTCTCATCAGACAAATGTTCATGGATTTTTTCAAAAAATTTCCACTTTTCTACTATGATTACAGAGATGGGGGAAGGTACAAAGCTTGTCTCGAGATCTTTTTAGCTATGAAAAAGTATATGTACTGATGCATCACCGAATTATTTTACTACTTTTAGTTATAAAGTGAGGGTGCGAATGATAGTGTGATGTGCCTGAAATGGAAAAGTAAAGAGAGTAAAAGACTAAAGGGACTAAAAAAGTCATAGATATAAAAGTACGAAAGTATAATAAGAATGATAAGCTAAACTGAGAGCTGTAGCCTCATATGTAACGTAAAAACATCTGAGGACAAACTTTGTACCATCCCCCAGCCCTCTATGATTAACAGTCAGAGATAGATACACTAGTTTAAAAATAAGAACAGTACTTGATGTGAGACTTATATAATAAATATGCGTTGTTTATACATAATCGAAGAATCTTTTCGAAAATGCCTGTCGATTGCACAAATCTGTTTGACAACATAGAACACTCGGAATAGATTTCATTTGTTGACAAATTACTCGATATTTTCTACATTATTATCTACTACTTTTCCTTCGAATTATTTACTGGCTGTTGTTAAATATAGCCGGCTTTTTGTTTTCGTTCTTGGTGTTTCTCTGATGTGCATGCTTGATCGTCTTACATGGATTTAAATTTATAACTAACACATTGACATCGGTTGGAGCCACTTGTTTCAGTTTGACAATCGGTTTTCTGACCTATGTCCATTGTGTAATATTCATTCCCACTACCGGTGTAACATTTAAATGAGTCAATCGATAAGTTATTATTTAAACTCCACAAATGTATAGATTACATTCATATTCTCAATGAATATTTTGTATTTTTATCATCAATATTAGATTCATAAAAGTCTGATATTTTCTCACTATTTATTGCTATTCAAGTGTACTGATCGATGTTTTAACCGCTCGACTGTCTTAATATTGTTGATAACCACAGAATGAGTGAACAACGATCCACTGCTTGACTATCGATTGGCTGTGTCAATATCATCTGGTGATTGCTGTTTTATTACGCCGTATCGCTATACGATAGGATATAGAATTAGAATGAGTAGACTGTGTAATCAGACGCATTGAATGTGGTGCTTTATCACAAACTTGAAATTCATGAAGACTTGCCGATGTCCCACCTATTGTTGATATAAAAACAAAAAGAGATTAGAAGAAAGTTAGGTTTGATGGAATTGATGATTTCTTAGTACTATCTGAAGAGCAACGTTGAGATATAACTTTTGATGAACGAAAAAAGTCAGAAACTCAATTGAATGCGGTAAAAGCTACTGTCTATTTTGAAACACCAGTTTTGGTTGTTTGTTGAATAGCTTTTAAGCGAAAAGGGATACGGTTCCCTGCATTTTGAAGTAGGAACTTAAGAATGCGTAACTACGAAAAAGAATTTTGAAACTTTGTTTTCGGATGGTATATTTACAGCCCTTGATAGATGAAGACACAGATTTAGAAGTTGTAATAGCTTTTCTTAACTGTAAAACACAATTGAAATATAGGTTATTGCCCATGTCAGATCTCGTGCAGTATTTTCAATTAGGTGGGGAAATTTCCTCTCACTCTGTTTCATAACATCCGGAAATCGCCGTCGCCGCGGATTCAGTGTTAAAGTGTTAAAGTGTTAACACTTTAACACTTTAACATATACGAACTCGCGGCGAGTGAGGGTGAGGGTGGAGAAGTGAGAGTGAAGTGGGTGAAGAAGTGCTCTACCCTCATCCTCACTACTTCACCTTCAGTTATGCACGTTTATCCTTTTACACTTTAACACTTTAACATATAAGAATCCGCGGCGACTGCGATTTCCGGATGATGCCGCGGGCGCTGCAGCTAGCTGCACTAGTTTCGATACCTGTTGCAGCTAGCTGCATAAACGTACACACCATGGAGCGGACACTATAGCGGCCGATTAGATACCTGCTGCTAAGGATTTCATTCATTCGAAAATCCAGGAACTTATTAGAAACCTACTTTAGACGAAACGTTCATTTAGGCTATTTTCATAGAAAGCTGAAAAATTAGTAACTCGCTCATAATCGGTTAAAAGGGTTTCTAAACTGCAGAATATACTCAATTTTAGCTACTTTAAATCTACCATCTGAAGCAGACTTCTACCGGGTTTTGGAAATTTCCAATGAAAGCCTTTAGATAGATCGGTTCTAGCAAATTTGCTATATCTCAGAACTACGGTAGTCAGTAACCTGTGGATTGATGAGATTGCTGCATATCAATTGCTGACAACCAACAAAAAACAGAATTAATTGTTTTATAGGTAGATCACAAGCTTTGGGCATTTATCTTACGAAATGCCAAACAAAACACTAGACAAAATATTAAGCTAGTAAAAACTAAAATAGTAGGTTGGTTCTTTTTTTTCCAGGCCAAGAATAAAACTTGTTACGTTCATATCCATATCTATGCTTGATAATGGCGATTGAGCCATTAAAAGGTCGAAAACTCTGGATATTGATTATTTCTAGTAAAAATTTGGAATGAACACATTCAGGCATAATGTTCAACTCTTTTCATTCGTAATCAAATATTTGCCCATTCATACCCAAAACTAGAATGTTCCATGGACCGACTGACTGAACTTAACTCGATTTTCTCCTAGATCATGATGATGGCAACGATCCTGTGTATTTTGCTCCTCTTATTCGTTAACTCAAATTTTGTTTTCGAAAACTGTATAGCTCGCTTAGAATTTTTCAGTGACTGAACCGACCCCTTAAAGTTTGAACTGTATCATTCGATATAAAAGAGTCACAAAATTCAGTGTGCTGATGTTCGTAGGCCTTTTAGTTTAACGTAGATTAGGCACAAGGCGGTATGGTACTCTTGCACTTACGCATTATTCACGTCAGAATACTGCCTGACATTCTGTGTGAAATTGGACTAGGGTGTTACATATAATCGTCTACTGGTAAGTTTTGTCACACTGGCTTTTTTTTATAGGCCGTTCAGTATGTCGCTCGTCACTACAAAGTACCACAAATATCATACGGTGCTGCGTCAGTTATATTTACTTTTGATAAGAGTGAACAATATCCTTACTTTCTAAGAACAATTCCTGATCTAAATTCAGAGTTAGAGTCACTAGCCGGTTTTATTCAAGTTCAAGGTTGGAAAAATATAGCTCTTTTGTACACTAGTGACAGACCCACTTATCACAATGTGCTCAAATTTATCAATGCAACCCGAGAACGTGGTATTAACATTGCAGTTCGCCGAGCATTTATTAGTGAGGCGTCAAATGAAGATCTAAAAGATCATTTTTATAAAATTGGAAACTCATCTGTACGTATTATTGTTTTTATTGGTACGCTCAAAGATCAGCAACAGCTCATAGGAAGTTGCTTAGAATCTGCCCCACATCTTTCTGACAAGGGTTACCAATGGATCGGCGTCCACAACAGTATGTACCGAACTCTTTATTTAAATGACAGCGGAGATATAATACCAAAGTATAAAAGTTGGGTCCAAGGTTTTATAGGATTGCAAAACTCTGCCAATGTCAGCTCTCCCATATACATAAACTATTCCAATCGTTGGTTTTCGGCTGCAAACGACAGCGATACACCCAGCATTGTTCTGACAAACCGAAGATCAACAATTCCACCTATTGCGAATTTTGCCTATGATGCGTGCTTCATGTTTGCTCATGCTCTTAATAGAATGGTTAAAAGTAGGCAAGATCCAGCACTGCCTGAGAATCGCGAAACGTATTTGAAAGTGCTGAAAAATGTCACTTTTGACGGCGTGAGCGGACACATCTCGGTCAATGAAAGTGGTGATCGCCAAGTCTCAGTCCCATTTGACATTCTCAATTTTGTAAATGATTCATTAGTTCTGATCGGCTCAGTAACAGTTGACGGTAAAGTTAGCCTGAATGAAGACGTCAAAATTGTTTACACCGGTGGAGCAACGGAAAAACCACGAGACATGCCAGTAACCAAAATACCGAGATCAGCTCTCATTAGTATGATATTTGGTAGTGCCGTATGTACTCTCGTATGTATATTTATGATTAGTTTAACGTTTCATTTTCAAAAGGCTCCCGTAATCAAGGCATCAAGTTGGATTTTTCTAATTTTTATGCTCATCGGCGTGATGTGTCTAGCGTTGTCAATCATCCCGCATTCATTGAAAGCGTATTTTGACGAAACCTCTAACGTTACATGTGTATTAGATCTTTGGTTTATGAATATTGGTTACACACTAATTATCGGTACATTATTGGTAAGTTCATTCAGCTGGGAAGTATACACTGAAACAAATGTGACTTTTAGGAATCGAAGATACATCATTTAATTGTCTTTAGCATAGTCAGATTCATATGTCTTTTCGAAAGAAGCGAGATCGCCAAATAAGCTCGCAGATTTTGATGAAATATATCTTGTATGGTAGTAAAGTGTGCTGATCACAAAACCTGAAAACCTCAGCCGCCCAATCTGACTAGCTGAGGAGCTACAGATATTTTAGTGGAACACATGCTAAACATCGCACTTTATTATAAATCCTAACTTTGATAGAAATATTCTCTATGTCAGGAAACAGATGAAGATATAAGATAATTCTCTTATCCATAGGTTTGTAGAACGATCTCTAAAATTCTTTTATTTTCTGCACGCTTCGGACCAGTTGTTGGAGAAGAAATGGATCATTCACAAAAAATATCGATCATATCCATTTCACATGTAAACAATAAAACACTTGTAAAAATAGCACGTAGAGAACCAAATTCCAGGCATGGGTGAGTCCGAGGGGGCACCGAGTCCTCAAAAGTCCAAGTCGAGTCCGAGTCCTTCACATTAAGGACCGAGTCCAAGTCCATTTTGAGTCCGGGGCTCTTTTAAATTCTTTTTTTGATGAGGATGGTTTATTTCTCTTTTTTAATTTACTGAGCCCTGGATAGATATTTCATTTTTCGAAAATAAGGTTACTTCGCATCTCCGTCTCTCGAACAAAATTTTCAATTTCTTATGAAACAGAAGATGTTGTTATTTCACTTTTCATTTTTCTCTGTTCATTTGTGTTAAAAATTGAATAGGTCGGCCTCGAAATCCCAAGCGTCATAAAAAAATCTAGTATCGCCCAATTCAGCTAGATTACTAGATTTTTACTCGATTGCAACTACTGTGTAACGACAATGGAAATCGAGTAATCGGGCGATTACTAGATTTTTTCTAGTTGCAACTATCGATTTATCGCCCGATAATCGATCGATTTAAGTATTACTAGATGCACCTGCAGACGCATCTAGTTAAAAGTCCCTTTTCCAACTAGTAATCTAGATGGCAACTAGTCGTAGATCGCCCGATTACAGACGAAATGTATCTAGATTTATCGCATAGGTGATATTTGCTTGGGATACAAAAACTCAAGTTCGAGTCCTTCAGAAAATTCTCCAGTCCGAGTCCGAGTCCGTCAAAAAATCTTCCAGTCCGAACTCGGACTCGCCCATGCCAGCCAAATTTTCATTTTGTCAGTAACGGCGTGACCGTGAGTTCTATCTCCATATTAATTTCGTGTTCTGAAAGTATGTGTCACTAGTCGAAAAGATATTGTCAATGAAAAAAGTGACCTAAAACAAGATACCTTCATAAGTGAAACTTGGCCGTGTGTGCTTAGTTTAAGTCAGTGATAAATTCTAATACTATATTCAGAAGCAGCGAATAATACGACGTCATACGTATAATAAAAATCTAAATTATCGCAGATATCCCAACGAGAGAGTATCTTTAGAAATAGAAATTAGTCGAGTTTGATCAAGTTTTGTAGAGTATCGAATTCCGAACAAGACATACTATTTAGATTTCGCTTTCGGAAAGAGGAAAACTTTAATGTAGGCTAGACATATAGAGATCGAACGGAAAACGTTCTATTCGACTTATCAGCTGGGAGTTTTAACCAAGGTATTGAAACGACTGTGCTTTTTTTGAGTTTTGTTTCGCCAGTTAAGCAACATGAGCATAAACAAAAGTAGTAATAATCAGAAAAAAAGTACTTCTCAGTACATACATGACTGAAGTCACACTTTGTTTTAGTGCTGAGATGTGCATTAACCCGTCTCAGAATAGAAATCATGACCTTCTATCGGATTACGACATTTCGAAAAGTTTTTGTCAACAAAGCCGTGGTATTCCCTCGTACAAGGCGATTTTGAAAAAATTTCGGCCCAAACTGCCCTTCAGATATAAGATATAAGATGATGTACTGCTCTGGTGAGACGTTTACTTTCACATTATTTTCTTAAGAAGTGCTTGCAACAAAATTTCTCTGGTATTGATTGAAAGATACTGAGTATCAAAGAATCACTTGTACGTGTGACATTCAGTGTAATAGCAGTCTAAGTGTGTAATATTTCAGAGAAATAGTACATACTTAAAAACAGGCCTTAATCTCTAATGGGTACACCGTATTACCGAAAGTTATGTGTCTTAAAATGAAACTTAGACCGGACATGAGTTTGAATACATCAGAAAATCTAAATTCACACGCCGGATAGCTAAATATTAAATTAAAGATTTGTATTAAATTGCAGGCCTTCTTATAAAGACTCCACAGCAACAGCAGGATATCATACCTGAAATTGCACAACAGAATTCTGAAACTTATAACTACTATCCGTGCGGTTTGCCCTCGGACCATCACGTTGCACCCTTTTACTCTTTGAAAACCTCAAAAAGAGTCGAGGCATAGGTAATCGATCACGCTGAATATCGTGACGAAATATTCAATTTTCAAAACACTTACAAAAACCTAGTAAAAACCTACGTTAGGTGAAATAACCCATTTTTGCCCATATTTGAGTAAAATTAAAAAATCCATAACCCAGCCAAGATATTCATCGAAAAAGTCGTCTAATCTCTATGTAAATTTTTGAAGCCGCAACCTGATTTTCCAAAGATCCTCTGAAACACCAGACTTCCAAGCCTTTTCAAAACTGGTTTGTGCTTATGGAAAGTTGATCTTAAGTGTCTACTTTCGATTACTGAAAACCACAGATCGCTGTCTATCAGGATAACAGAGTCCACAAAATGGCGTCCTGCCTTGTATTTTGGAACGGATAGTACTCACCTTATGCCTCTCATCACTTTTCTTTTGTAGCTTAAAACTTATCGTTTATACAAAATATTCAATATGCGACAAAAGATTTATTTACCCGACAAACATCTACTTCTTCTTTTATTCGGCCTAATATCGCTCGTTACTTTGATAATGCTTGGATTGAATCTCGGCGATCCGTTTGTCATTTTGCATCAGCAAGATAACGGGAATGTATATCTATACTGTTCATCAAAGCATCAAAACACCCTCTATCTTTGTTTTACTTTAACGCTTCGATTTTGTCTCTTGGCGCTAACTTTGATTTGTACATTCAAAATCCGTGGAATACCCGACTCATTTGATGAGACTAGGCAATTGAGTTTCACCGTATACAACCTGGTATTCTTGTCAATTGTACTGCCAGTTCTTGATGCAGTATTGAATCGTGGTAAACCAGCGGCGACAATCGTTCACGGAGTGTGCATTTTGGTTATCTGCATTATCACCATCGCGATCATGTTTGTACCAAAATTGCTTCATGTGTTCCACGACTCAGGCAAGGGATCTATGGATACGGTAGCACAAAGAGGCACGACAGTTTTTGCATTTGCATTTGATCGAAGAAAATGTCTCAAAGTATTGACAGATGCATCAAGGATTCGTGGACGAGCACTAACACATTGACGGACAATGTAGGAATATACGAGTGATTCTGGTGATTTTTGTACCTAAGCTAATGGACCTGCATCATTCTCCATTAATACTAAATCAAACATGTAGAAGCTCATACTATTTTATTCCGGACACTTTACTCTGTATATACTGCTAAGATCTATTTTCTTTCTTATTTCCTTAGTATAGAGTAGGCAAAACACTTCGGTTGCCGATTCTTTTTGCTTTCTTTTCTTAGTCGTTCCTGCACGTTCTTTTTTCTTAATTAACATTTTTCTTCTGTTAGGGAAGACGGAACAAAACCGTTTTCGCTTTTTGTGCAGCATTTTATCTGCTCTGTCAATCTGTAGTCTTAGTTTTGCCTACTCTCTTTTAGTTTCTGTGAAAACTTCGATGGAATTTGTGGTCTTCGGATAATTCAAAAATCGTGTCCCACCCTCTTTTAAGCCTACTGCNTCAAAGTTGGCACTATAGATTGTTGAAAACCGCACGTTAGTAGCTTTTTTCATTTTTGAGCAATTGACATTTTATTGACACCCAGTAGCTTGTGACATACAATTTGACCCACCCCGTCTGACTCTCTCCTGACCGAACTACACGGAATTAAGAACCTGTTTTTTCGCTATATATGTCAAATGGGTAGTACAAGTTATGCTGTAAATACCAAGGCTTCAACTTATTTCTAACGGAAGAAATTTGAAAAATACATCAAAATGTCCCATCCCAAACATATCTCTAGAAATTATAATGGCTATAAGCGGTGTCTCCGCACTCGCCTATATATCTATATGTATAC